TCCATGTGTAGTCTGCCATCACTTTTGGCCTTCAGGAGAGGTAAAATCTCCATTGATAGCCAATAGGACATATCCCTGAGTGTCATTTTTACCAATCCTTGGTAAAGTGTCTATTACATTTACAGCAAAAAGACTTGGGAATGTCTGGGGGTTTGCTTGGGCTGAGACATAATCAGGAGTGTTCTCCTTCGCTTACCTTTACACCACTGCTGTTCAGTCCCCTCCTGATCTGTTATAAAAGACCATGGTGCCCACCTCTAAGAGCTTGTCTAGATTACCCTCACGTTCTACTACAAGTCCCTGGAGTTTATCCTAATGTCTGAAACAGACTGGGTTAGGAAACTGCCTTTTTAAATCACTTATCGGAGCTGGTGCTGTGGCTTAGCAGATAAGGCTGCCAACTGCAGTCTGGCATCCCAAATGGGTACCGGTTTGAGTCCCGGCTACTCCACTCCCAATCCAGCTCTCTGCTATGGCCTAGGAAAGCAGTAGAAGCTGGTCCAAGTGCTGGGGCCCCTTACCCATGTGGGAGTCCTGGAAGAAGTTCCTGGTTCCTGGATTTGGGTTGGCACAGTTCTGGAGTGAAGTAGCCGATAGAAGATACATCTCTCGCTCTCTCTCTCTCTCCATGTGTGTGTAACTCTTTCAAATAAATAAATAATGAATCTTTAAAAAAATAAAATCACCTATGCCTCTACAGAGCAGGATCTAATGGACTATATGTCTTTAAAGTCTCCCTCAAACGTTCTAAGAAGGCAGGGAAATTTTTCTGTGGCTTGTGATCGATCAGGGAGAGTTTTGCACAAAGCAAGCTTGGGCGTAAAAGACCCCAACTCATTTAGGTAAAATTTTTCCTTCCTCTAGCTTGGTGGTGCATCTTTTCTTTATGTTCTGGGGATTAAAGGAATCACAACGGTATAGGAGGCATAAAATGCCTACTGTAGATGGTTTGTTTCCTAGTCGGAATGAGAGGATAAAGAAGGAAGTCTCACTCCATCAAGAGGAAATATTGACAATTTGATGCAAGAGGATATAGATAGCCAATTCAATGGAATTTAGAATATAACATGTGGCATGATTGAGAAATTCAGCAAGGAGATAGAGAATGTAAATCATTACTTGAATTTGAATAATTCAATGAATTTCCCTTTCATGAAGACCAGTGTGATCTCAGGAGGCCCACCTAGTCAAATCAGTATTATCTAACCCTGTTATGATCCCTCATACAATCACATTTGCAATGCCCCTCTCAGCATTTAAAACGATATATTTAGAAGTTCATAGCTTCAAAGAATTAGGACATGAGCACCTTTGCTCAGGAGACGAGATCATTGTTCATATTATCCTGCTATTATTATATCCATTTAGCAGCATACCCTAAGATGATGCTTTCTATTAAATTATTCATTCAAGTTCACTCAGCTTTCAACAGGAGGAGGAAGTGGTTGCAGGCCAATCTGACAGGAAAGCAGAGTTGCTAACCACTTACTGTTAACTCCTATAATGTTTAATCATTTTATTTAGTTTCCCCCACTTCAATCCATGTTGCATGATCAGTCCTCATGGTTGGTTCAGGTTTACTTACAGGTGGGGCTCAGCTCAGTAACCTCCATGGTGTGGTGTGATGCAACTAGCCATTGTGTCACATGGGTCTCTGCACCAGACTGGGACATGATGCATGGACTTCATCCTGTTGAGGATCTGCACTTGTGGGAATGGCAGCAAATGCTGAAGACATTCAATGCAGATTCACTGGTGATAAGGGAGCATTTCTCACTGCTTCAACCATGTCCATGGTTGAAATGGAGGGTGCTGTCATGATTCAAGTATTCACCTCTCTCTGCATTAAGGCAGCATTTTTTAGAGTGGTCATCACAGCAAGACAAAAACCTGGCATTAGCATATCAACATTAGCTGCAACATAATTGAAACCCACAATCAGTTTTCTTCAAGTTTGCAAGAAAATGAATATTTAGAAGTGTCTGCTTACATGGACAGGTCCACACCCCTGATACATCGGGTTATATGCAAGGTAGCAAAAAATCCTGGGAAAAATTCTCACTATTCAGAAAACAACAATTTGTTTCAACTTCTGCAAGAAAGATCAGGGCTCTGGAATATGAAACCACTTCCAGCAAAACACAGAAGTCAAAACACAATAGAAACTACTAAGGGCAACTGATGAAAAGCTCAGGATTTCCACAGCGAGCTGAGGGACTAGTGTGCAGAATCAGTCCACTTCTCTGCTGGATCAAAGTGGAGCTACTGGGATGTGAACCGGCACCCCTATGGGACGCAGGCACTTCAGGAGGAAAGTTTTCGTGCGATGCCACACCACTGGCTGTGCTATCTGGTTTTTATGTCTAATCTTTTCTTTCCACCTCCTTCACTCAACCAACATTTTTCATTTCTCTTCACAAATGTTCACTGAAAAACAATTGACCAAGAGAAACAAAAGTACCAGTCATGTTACTGCTACAGACACAGGCGCTCAAGTGTTCAGAATCAAGGCTGAGGCTCAGTGTCACCCTGCAGGGGGCCCACCAGCCAGATCCCCAGGCACTGGCTTAATCTTTTCTTTTTTCCTCTTATACTATCCATATTCTAGCCTCAGCTCCCACATATTTTTGTGGATCCCTTTTACATTCTGAATACCAACTTCTCTCAAGGTTTCCTTCAGGTAACCCACAGGCTGTTTTGTGATGTCCACCAGGTCCCTCAGGTTGGACTACCAGTGCTTCTCAAAGGCTGAAAACAGCCTGGCTAAAACTTGCTGTCGTCAGCTCGGGCTCGTTTTCCATCTTGTTTCTCCTTTCATAGTCAATGTTGTATTGATGATTAGCAACAGGTTTGTAACTGGTTGTTACAAGTATACCCAGTTGTTGGGATGGTCTTACTGCTTTGGGAGATTCCTCTGTTTGCCATCTCTTCAATCTCATGTAATTCTCACTGGCCACATGTTGGCACTCAGCTCTTTATTCCAGCTCCTTCCTGAGACAGCCTCTCCAAGGAGCTCTCAGTAAATACCGTTTACCATCCAGCAGTTTGCCAGACACATGGATGATCTTGAGGAGCACTGACTACATCTGGTTTCGCATCAGAATCGTGAATATTTGAGAGATCTTCATCTAAAGAAAAGGACACCACAGTCCTTCCTTGATTCTTGGCAATCTGCAGTTTCTCAACTTCTCCTCTTCCAGGTGCTTTATCCCGTTGCTGTGGCAAATATTTAGAAACCTTGACCAGACACACTCCAGTGTACTGTTTGCACCAGTCACATCGAGTTCCCCATACTTGGCCATGAGTCTGTTGGGGGTGGAAGTGAGTGAACTGGAGCAGCAGCCTCAGGACCTTGGGTGCTGTGGAGCAATTATCCTGAGCAAAAGGCTAGCGCGGTGGAAGCTGGACTGCAAGGAGACAGTGCTGATCACCTGCCAAGATTATAGGAAACCTGGAACTGAGGAACACTGGAGGTTTCCATATTAAAATATGAATTTTTGGGAAAAGGAAGGTGGTGTGGAGGAATCACTATGTTCGTAAATTTGTATGTATGAAATGCATGAAGTTTGTGTTCCTTATATTAAAAAAAAAAGTGCCAGAGAAGCAATGACTTTGAACAGCCTTTGTCTTGAAGATTGAGGAACAGTTTTTTTTTTCCTTCATACTATTTTGAACACTCTCCTCAACATAGAGATAATCATATGTGTATAAATTTAATTGAACATAGATCTTAGTAAAAATAAGAGTGGGAATAAGAGAGAGAAGAAAAAGAAGGGTGGGAGGATCAGCATGTGGGAAGAACTCACTGTTGTAACTATGAAATGTATGGAATTTATAACTGTAAATCTGTATACTTCTTCATACATTTGTATAAAGTTAATTCTAAGGGTAAAGTTTAAAAACTTGACATGGGTTTCCAAATACCTATAAGCTCAGTGGTAAAAATAGCATTTTAAGAGATAAAGTGAGCATTTGGATAGGGTTAAGTATTAAAGTGATCATATAAGTTGAATTAGCTGTTTCACAATAAAACCAGATAGAATTAAAAAGAGTAAATACTCCAACACTGGAAGCAGTCCACATGGCAAACTCACAGAATGAACAGCAGGACTTGAACCAAAGCCAATATGGATGCCCTAGTGGAGGTGGCAGCTTTACCCCCTAAGCCACAGCACTGGCCCTGGAAAACTGGGATTCTAAGACAATCTCTCTTACTGATGTATTTGTGACACTGTATGTCACTGAGGTAAGAATTGCTCATTCCTGAACATCAAAATAAATTTGGACTAGTTGATCTCAGAGATCACTTTTATTTGAATTATATATGATCATGGGACTAGTGTTTTATGTAGCACTTAATGTGCCATTTGGGACTTCTGACATTCTGAGTTTCAGTCTCAGTGCTGCTCTCCATTCCAACTTCCTGATAATGCAAACTCTTGGAGGCAGCAGGCAATGACTCACATTCTTAGGCCATGCTACCTATGTGGTTGACTTGCATTGAGTTCTCAGCTCTCAATTTTAGTTTGACAGAGCAACAGTCACTGCAGGCATTAGAGGAGTAACCAGCAGATGGGAAGTCTCTGTATCTTCTTTCCTTCTCAGTCCATCAATCTACTTTTCAAAAAAGATTATCCATGATTTTTATAAACACTATGTGTATATAAACAGTCCAGGCAGGACGTCAACTCATGGGAAAGGAGGAGAAGCAGAGTAGGGTCACTTATCTTCAAGGAGTAATGTGTTTCCTGTACAGAGAGCGACAGAGCTCATTGTACACAAAACAAATTGGTGTGGATCTGTTAAGGGTTTAGAACTATGTGAATTAGGCAGAACATTTCCTCTCTTTCTCCTGAAGATTGCATGAATCAAGAAGTGGAACTGTTCAAGTTCTAAACTGCATTGAACCCGATTTTGATCAATTATTTTGGTAATTATTCACCAAATTCATATTGACTTTGAAAGCCACAGGTTAGCGTGAATCACGCAATAGTGAATCAAAGTATACTCTAAAAATGCTGGTGAACCCAGGTAAACTGAAGGCCTTGTTTCGAGGAAGACAGCAAGACATGGGACACTCGACGTCAGTTCAGAAGTCTAACATCAGCAGTTTGTGTGCCTTCAGATATGGAACAGAATCTCCAGGACAAGTTTCCTCATCCCTCAAATTGAATGATTTTACCTTAGGAAAAGGTAACAGAATCTGAAGAATGTGTAAGGTGTGAAACTCTTTGTGAATTGTCAGAATCTCTCTATTTGTGGCCAATAAAACATTCTCTAAGTTGTTCTCGACAAGACTTAATTTTTACAAATACAGTTCAGAAATAATAGCACTAGCCAATTTACAGAAACATCTGATGATACTGTAAAAATATGCCTTTGTATAGCATAGTCATTGGTGATGTAGTAACGTTTATCTTTCATTGAGGTTTACCTTCTTGTGAACACAGTGTCTCCTCCTGTTCAGGTCAACAAGTTGTGGTTCTTTGAGCTGTGGGTCCATTGAATGATTTCCCTTCCTCTCCTCCTCTGTTTCATCTGCAAGTGCATTCTTTCTATTATTTCCCAGAATTGCTGCATTATTTCACTTTTCATTTCAGACCATGACAGACCCAAACCAACAGAATCATCCTTAGCTGGAGTTGAACATGAGGTGAGGATAATTTCACTTTCCCAAGAGTTTCCCTCACATTCTCTGGGATTCTCTCTTTCCTTAGTTTCAATGACTAAATTTTACCTCTATAGTGAATCAACAGGAAGAACTCTGTCTTTTTCTGTTCATGTGAGCACATGTGAGTTCTTTATCCTTGGAGTCAATTAAAGGAGTTCCTATTGGGTGCAATGTCTGCTTTATTATGAACATAGTGTGTTGTTTATTGAGAGTCACTAATATTTTAGGTTCCCTTTGTTTGTTGAAGTAACTCTGGAGGCTGCCTGTGTGTAGGGCATAGTACACAAGATGGGAATCAGAAGATCTCATAGAAATCCCCCAGAACAGACACTGTGGCGTAGTCATTCAGCTGCTGCTTTTGACACAGGCTTTCAATGTCAGAAACTTGGATTTGATTCCTGGTTTCAATTTTTGTGCTGGTTTATGCTAATTCTATACGGGGGGGGGTATGGGGTGGGGGCACAAGAAGATTTCTTAGCTCTTGGGCCCCTTTCACCCATGTGATAAACCTGGATTGACTTCTGGGTTTCTGATTTGACCTGTCTCAGCCTTTGCTGTCCGTGGAATTTGGGGGAGTGAAGCAAGATACAGGAAATGGTTCTCTAACCCTGTCTAATCTCTCGCTCTCTCACTCTCTCACTCTCTGCCTTCCAATAAAGACAAATAAAGTTTTCAAACCTAAATTAAATTGTATTTAAAACAACTCTCCAAAATAAATTGAACATAAAAACAGAAATTCCTTTCTGTGACTTGTGAGCCTGTGATCCTGGCCATGTCCTCTGTTTCCTATGAATATCTATTCATTTGAAAATTAAAATTAATATTCTCTGCTTTCTCAAGTTTTCCTTTTAAAATTTAATGTCAAAAATCATGCCCATTGATTTAGCTAGTGATTTGGTCATTTCTCTTCATTCAATATTTACGGTTTACGGTTACTTTCTAATGTTTAGTTATTTATAATATTAGTAGAGCGCATTCAATGTTTGAATTCTGCCATCATTGAGTACAGAGTGTCTCACTTTTTGATATAGCTTCAAGACACACTCACATATATATTGTATATGCCTGTATAATAAGTTGTAAAAGTCATAGCATACTGTGATTTCTTTTAGTCATAAATTCTCAACTGGAAATTATAACACAGACATAGAATTTGGCATGATTATGTTGTATCATAATTAATTCTCTATCATGACTGCACATGGAAAACATCTGTTTTTTTTTTTTAATCCAATTACCAATACAAGGGCACAAACCAGTACAATGAAATTTCCATTTCCCAAGTGAGCACAGGAAAGAATGCAATGCGACTAAAGAATATCTTGTTTTCATCTATGTCATGGAGGCAAAGTTCACTCAGGAGAGGGATAAAGTGCATCGTTGTTTGACCCATCAGAGAAGCATATTAGCAAGAGTGGTGTAAAGCCTGTGCTTCCCAGCTCACAGGGATCCCAGGAAGTAGAGAATGGATCCAGTTGTGGTCCTGGTGTTGGAACTCTGCTGTTTACTTCTCCTTTCACTCTGGAAGCAGAATTCTGGGAGGGGGAAGCTCCCTCCTGGCCCCACTCCTTTCCCCATCATTGGAAATATTCTCCAGATAGATGCTAAGAACATCAGCAAATCCCTAACTAAGGTAAGTATTCATTAGATTGACTCTTTTTAAAATAAAATCTACTTCTGGATGCAGATTCTTATGACAGATGATTATAAATCAAAATGCTCTCTGTAAGCTTTGATGCTTCTTCTACCAATTTCAGGAGTTGAGTAGAGAAATATTTAGGTCCTGCAGATAGAATCAAAATAACTAAGTGACAAAAATCAGGAGTACTGCTGAACTTCTTTGAATTCAGCCATTTGCCTGAACATCAGTGATAGTGAAGAGCTTCTGATACAAATTTCATTCAAGAAATCCTCTATTGTATTATACATGTGGTTACTTTTTTCAGAATATCCATGAAAATTGAACGTCTCTGCAGAATCAATAAAAACTGGTATCACTATGGATTCTGGAATGGTCTAGGTGAATGAAAGAAAGAAGTAAACATTCAGTGGCCACCTGCTGGCATCAGAATTCTTTTAGATTCTGTGAAACCCTGCTGTGTGGCCCAGAATGCTACAGGATGGAAGAAGCTGCTCCTCCCTGGGATGTTGCTTGCAATGTCCTGGCCCTTCTCTGGTGCTGCTGCTTCTTGTTCTTCCTCTTCTTCTTCTACTCCTACTCCTACTGCTCCTCCTCCTTCTCACCCCCTCCTCTTCCTTCATCCCCCTCCCTCCTTCTTCTCCTCCTTTTCTTCTTCTTCCTCTTCTCCTCCTCCATCTTCTTCTCCTCCTCCTCCTCCTTCTTCTTCTTTTTGAAGATTTATTTGATTTAATCAAAAGAGAAAGTGAGAGAAACTAAGGACAGACAAAGCAAGAGATCTCCTGGCCAGCACTGCAGCAAAGCACCTGGAGCCTCCTCTTGTGATCCCGGCATCTATACGGGCACCTTTTTAAGACCAGGCTGCTTCTTATCTGATCCTGCTATCTGCTAATTATCTTGGGACAGCATCAGAACATAGTGCAATTTCTTGGGACCCTGCACCCAGGTGGGAAACTACAAGAAGCTCCTGGATTCTGGAATCAGCATGGCCTATCCCTAGCGCTATGGCAATTTGGGTAGTGAAATAGCAGATTGAAGATCTCTCTCTCTCTCTCTCTCTCTCTCTCTCTTCCCCCCCCCCCCACCATCTCTCCTCCCCTTTCTGTAACTCTGCTTTAAAAAAAAAAAAACATAAAAAAGATACCCCAGGCTGGGGCTGTGGCATAGCAGGTAAAGCCACCGCCTCCAGTGCTAGCATCCCAAATGGTCTGCTATGACTTCGGAAAGCAATAGAAGATGGCCAACGTACTTGGGCCCCTTCACTGGTATGGGAGACCCAAAACAAGCTCCTGGCTTCAGAGTGGCCCAGATCCAGCCATTGCGGCCATTTGAAAAGTGAATCATTGAATGGAAGACCTCTGTCACTCTCTCTCGCTCTGCCTCTTTGACTCCTTCAAATAAATAATTAAATCTTTAAGAAGAGAGATATCCCATTTGCTGTTTGACTGCACCAAGGGCTGGAGTGATCAGGGCTGAGAAAGGTCAGAGCCTGGGTCAGAGCAAGGAGCTCTTCCTGGGTCTCCCACATGGGTGGCACATTTTTTTTACAAGATTTTTTTACGTATTTGAAAGGCAAAGTGTCAGAAAGAGACACACAGAAAAAGACATCTTGTTTGTTCTCTTTCTGTCTTTTAAATGCCAGTAGATTTCACACTGGGCTGGACATTAGACTTAGTTGTGGTGACATTTAAGGACATACAACACTAGTGACATCGGAACCTGACTGAGTCAGGATCCTCATGAGAAGGGCTTGCCATGTGATCCTGAGTAAGCTGGGTAGTGATTTCAAGCGACAGAGTTTGAATAGGCAGCAAATAGCCTCTAATTCCTGGCTGCAGGAAACTGGAGATTAATTTAGAATTCCAGTCCAGGTTTCTTTATTTATAAAATAGTGGAATTAACCTTGTTGAGTGTATTATTTGAGAATTACATGCAAACCTCATACCAACTACCTGGGCCATTTATGGCACATCATAGGTCATTCATGAGTAGCAACCATAATAATCACTATCATATTTAGTTATAAATAGAAATACTTAAATCCATGGAATTTTAAAAATATAACATCGACAATGCTAATTTCCGTCTGAATCAGACACACTATGTGACCTTCATATACTTTCTTTGGTGATATTTGTTTCTCTTCCCAGTTCTCAGAACGCTATGGCCCCGTGTTCACTGTGTATCTGGGCATGAGGCCCACTGTGGTGCTGCATGGATACGAGGCAGTGAAGGAGGCCCTGGTTGATCTTGGAGAGGAGTTTGCTGGAAGAGGCAGTTTTCCTATGGCTGAAAAAGTTAATAAAGGACTCGGTAAGTGTGTGTGTGTGTGTGTGTGTGTGTGTGTGTAACAGTGGTTATGAGATGGAGTGTTTAGAAAACAGAGACTTGAAAAGCTCCTCAGACAGAACTGGGCCATCTGTGTGGCTGCCTCATGTCAGCGTCTTCCTACTTGCTGGGATCTCCCTCCTTCCTAGTTTCTGTTTCTCATTCTGGCAGGAATCACTTTCAGCAATGCAAACACATGGAAGGAGATGCGATGCTTATCGCTCATGACCCTGCGGAATTTCGGGATGGAGAGGAGGGGCATTGAGGACCGAGTTCAAGAGGAGGCCCGCTGCCTGGTGGAGGAGCTGAGAAAAACCAATGGTGGGTGACCCTTACCCCACATCACTGACCTCCCACTGCACCCTCAATATGCTGCCCTGGGAAACCTTGCAGGGTGAGCGGAGCCTTCATCCTCAGGCATGGCTGCCTCTCCCATTGAGGGAAAAGGTGGTTTGGAGCAAGGAGTGGGGAGTTTGTGCACATCAGTGCTGTGTTTGCAGCCTCGTTCTGTGTGGTGTGGGTGTGGAAGTTCATTTAGTACCCTCCTGTCCCAAATCAGTTTCCTTTATTTTAAATCAGAAATCATGAAAGTAAGTTTTGAGTGTTATTTTTATGAAAGAAGGTTTTCCCCATAGCCTGAATGCTATTACCTATTGTAGAATGATTCATGGTGGAAACTTGGCAAAGCATATCGTGGCAATGACCCATCGCAACTTATGGGGCATAAAACGACCCTCGTGGGCGTTCACATCTGCATGCTCAGCTTCACTGACATGTCTGAGGTTCTCCAGGCCTGTGCCTAGTGCTAGACACCAGTGGTGCTGTGTGCAGTTTTGTCATCCTAGGCATATCCCAACAATGTTCCTTTCACTTACTATTCTCTGTAATCACTCTGTTTATAAAAATTGCTCTCCCTTGTTGAGTCTACTTCCTCTATGGATTTATTTGGTTTGAGTAAATACAGCCAGTAACATAATTCTGCACATACACAAACATGAAGTGATTTGTTTAACAAAATTTCAACTGTTGATAATAGCTGTTTATATTGACTTTCCTTAGCAGAATGTGGCTTTGTTTCTGCTTTGTTTTCTCTCTGTGTTTATTAGATTTTGTTTGAGAAATTGTGACATATTTTCCTCCACAACCAGGTCTACTGCTCTGAGATGTGTTGTTCACAATGTGTCTGATTATCAGTTCATTTTCCAAATTACCCTGTTTTATAATTCTCTCTTCTAAGCAAAATGAAAGATTGAAAATCAGGTTTTCTGTAGGTAACACATACATACACAGAAATACACAGTTCCCAAGGCTTTCCAAATTCTCCTCTACCTTGTTGGTGTAAAAAAAAAGTTTGTCTAAATATGTAGAGTACTATAAATGTTTAGAAAGCCTGACACAGAAGCAAGTAACTCAGGTATCCTAATGTCCTGTTCTCTACTATGTATCTGACCACTTTTAATCAAGATGTCCTTTTAGAGGGGGCTATGAGGTGTCTATAGCTATGAATTTGGGAGCTCTTTACCTATTAAGTTTATTGATCATTTGATGGTAACATTTGCACTGTACAAATCTGCCATCTAAAATGAAAACCTCTCCTGCATTTTCATTTGTTTATCTGTAAGATGAGAAACTTGACTTAACTTATGGGTAAGTTTTAAATTTTATTAAAACACATTTTGCTATTTGGTATAATTGTACAGAAGAATATGTTAGAATCAACTAAAAGACAGCTTTGCTCAAGTATGTTAAATATAGAAAGCAATTCGAAATATTGGCTGGTCATGTCTCAAGAAAGGAAATTTTTTTTTACATTGAAATTCTTTTTTTTTTTTTTTTTTTTTTTTTTTTTTTTTGACAGGCAGAGTGGACAGTGAGAGAGAGAGACAGAGAGAGAAAGGTCTTCCTTTTGCCGTTGGTTCACCCTCCAATGGCCGCCGCTGCAGCCGGCGCACCGCGCTGATCCTGGCAGGAGCCAGGAGCCAGGTGCTTTTCCTGGTCTCCCATGGGGTGCAGGGCCCAAGCACCTGGGCCATCCTCCACTGCACTCCCTGGCCATAGCAGAGAGCTGGCCTGGAAGAGGGGCAACCGGGACAGAATCCGGCGCCCCAACCGGGACTAGAACCCGGTGTGCCGGCGCCGCAAGGTGGAGGATTAGCCTATTGAGCCACGGCGCCGGCTACATTGAAATTCTTGATAAAGAAGACTCCAATTACTTTTTGGCTTCCCCAATCTAGGATGCATGCTTGAAATAAATAAACTAAAATTCTCACTTTGTTCCATTAAGAAAACAGATCCAGAGATCCATGTTTTGTTTTTTCTTTTTGTTGTTGGTTTTTTTTTTTTTTTTTGGACAGGCAGAGTGGACAGTGAGAGAGAGAGACAGAGAGACAGGTCTTCCTTTGCCATTGGTTCACCCTCCAATGGCCGCTGGGGCCAGCGCACCGCACTGATCCAAAGGCAGGAGCCAGGTGCTTATCCTGGTCTTCAATGCAGTGCAGGGCTTCAGTATTTGGGCCATCCTCCACTACACTCCCTGGCCATAGCAGAGAGCTGGCCTGGAAGAGGGCAACTGGGACAGAATCCGGCGCCCCGACTGGGACTAGAACCGGTGTGCCGGCGCTGCAAGGTGGAGGATTAGCCTAGTGAGCCACTGCGCTGGCACAGATCCTTCTTAAACTTATGCTTTCCTTCTTATTTTTCTAAAATTTTTCTTTAAAGGGAAAGTCAACCGTTTTGATAGACACACCACACACTCATACACACACACACACACACACACAAAGAGGTAGGGAGGGAGGCAGGGTGGGAGAGAGAGACAGAGATCTCATCTACTAGTTTACTCCCCAGATTCCCACATAGCCAGGCCTATAATTAAGCCAGAAGTGGGTACTCGATTAGGTCTCCCACTTGAGTGGCATAAACTCAGCTACTTGAACCATCACCTGTTGCTTCCAATAGTCTGAACTCTCAGGAAAATGGAGTTAGGAGTGGGGCCTAGTGTTGAACCCAGCACTCTATCTGGAATGCAAATCATCTTAGATGGTATCATAAGCTTCATAATTTAGTTTTTGGTTTTTCTCATATTATATGCATGCCTTCGGCTTTGACAATTTTTCTCATTTAAGTATGTGAATTTTCTCACAATTTGTCTCTTTTTCCCTCTCTACTGGTTCAACACTTCATTTTTCATTATTTGTGACTATTCGTTATTTTATCTATAAGACGTTTCCTGGCCCACACTATTTTCCGCCTTCCATTTCAGTGCTTTATATCTACAGACATTGTGCACATGCATGATTCTGGTTTGAAAATTGAATTATTAAAACTGTTTTCATTATCCTTCCCAAATAGCAGATCTCTTGTGATAAAAGGGTGCATAGAAAAGCAATAAATGTGATTGAGTATTCGAAATTTCATTATTTAGGCAAATTTCATTATTTAGCTATTATTTAGTCAAATCAGGCTTACAGTAAAGTGATGCTTGTTTGATTTCATTTGTGTCACTATTTTTTTACTGTCACAGGAATTTGTAGGCAAGACATTTCTTACCATTTCTAAATTAACATGGACAAAAATAACATGCTTTATATATATATTTTAATGGTGTTTTAAAATTGCTTTCAATCCTTCAGCCTCACCCTGTGATCCCACCTTTATCCTGGGCTGTGCTCCCTGCAATGTGATCTTCTCCATTATTTTCCATAATTGCTTTGATTATAAAGATGAGGATTTTCTTAAATTGATGGAAAGATTAAATGAAACTGTTAGGATTCTGAGCTCTCCATGGTTGCAGGTGAGAGCGAGATCTTTTGTTGCTGGGAAGCCATTTATGTTCCTTTATCTGACAGGTGCTAAATGCTACATGGACCAAGCTATGAAGAGAATGTTTAGACAGCACAGTCCCAGCAGAGCTGATGTCATTGAACACTGTGAAAGGTGATGGAAATTTTTTATTTACACACAGCAAAATGAGTGTCCAAATACTGGTCTAATGTTTGTGTCCATTATCTTCTGTCCAGTGATTTTTCACTAAACTCCAAGCCCTATTTCTATGAAGCCACTTCAATGACTGAACACAGAATGTCTTTGTCAATCAATGGACATCCAGGCTGTTATTTTTAAAAGATATTTATGAATATGATGGCAGGATCAGAGAGAGAGGAAGAAACAAAGGGGAGATGAGGAAGAGGAGAAGGAGAAGGAGGAGAACAAAAGAGAGAGATGCCTTCTATCTGCTGCTCATTTTCTGAACACCCACAACAAACATGGCTAGGATTCAAACCTGCACACATATGAGATGCAGACTTCACAAGTGGTAGCTTTACCTGCTGCACCACAATGCAGTCATTTCCTATTATATTTTAAGTTTATAGCAAATGATTTATGAAACAAAATGAGAATCATATAAAGAGGAGTTTATACAATAGAACAGGACAGTGCCACGGTTTGCTAGACTAATCCTCTGCCTGCAGCGCCAGTACCCTGAGTTCTAGTCCTGGTTGGGGCACTAGATCTGATCCGGTTGCTCCTCTTCCAGTCTAGCTCTCTGCTGTGGCCCGGTAGTTCAGTGGAGGATGGCCCAAGTGCTTGGGCTCTGCACCCGCAAGGGAGACCCGGAGGAAGCACCTGGCTCCTGGCTTGGGATCAGCGCAGTGTGTGGGCAGCAGCGGCCGTTGAGGGATGAACCAATGGAAAAGGAAGACCTTTCTCTCTGTCTCTCTCTCCCTGTCCATTCTGCCTGTCAAAAAAAATTATGTGTGAGTCTAGGAAATTAAATTTACCTTTGATAACCTGGTCAGACCTCTCATGCTCAAATATTTCTATAAGCATATAGAAATACCACATATTTACAGTAAAAGCATTCTTTTTAAGATGGACACTATTTTATTCCTATTAATATCTATAATTCATATTTATGGCAGGGTTTGCATGTATATATATATACATACATGCATTATCAGGTATGTATTATTGTACTCTCTTTTAGGTTTGCAATAATTTCCCCGCTCTCACTGACTATATCCCGGGGATTCATAACACCTTCGTAAAAATATTGCTTATACAAAAAATTTTGTTATGGAGAAAGTTAAAGAACACCAAAAATCTCTGGATGTTAACAACACTAGGGACTTTACTGATTGTTTTTTGATCAAAATGGAGCAGGTAAGATGTTCACAACAGCTTGTTATTTGTTTTCTTGTGTATTTTTAGATTCATTGAATAATTCTGTATATACAATGGATATTTAAATGATCAGGCTGGTTTGACAAGCAATTTACATATCTACAGAATGAGTGAACCCCCAGTATTATGAAAAATAT